AAAACTGAAATTTACTGTCAAACTTATTCCTCCCTTGGTGGTCGAAATAAGTTTTTTTTGGTTGGTTCTTTTATAAACATTTAAAAAAATAAAATAAATGAATAAATAAATTTATATATATATTTCTTTTTTAATTTACCCTTTATCCAGGTAGTTTCATTGAGCCACAAGAACTAATTTTCAAGAGAGACCTGTTTAGGGAGCAGATGGTGGGGGTTAAGGGCAGTGATCGGTAATGGACACTTGTTTGATGGTTATTGGGACATTTCAGCTTGAAGTTTGTCCTGCAGTTTTTTTGTTTTTTTTGCACTTTGAGACAGTTTAACATTGAACATTTAACATTCACTAGCTAAGTGAATGCTGCACAGGAATCCTAGTTTAGCTTGTTCAGCTTACTAAGGAGACTGCCTCTTCATCATTCCAACCTGGATGTGAAGATTAGTCACAACTGGAGTGTTTATGGACTGCCAGAAGAGTGCCTTTGGATTATATACATTTTTCTTTCCTACTCCCGGACAATGCCCATTGGAGTTAAACCCTGGACCAGCGGAAGGATGATTGCTGGGACTGGGACCAGAGTCTGTATGTACTGAACTACTAAACCAGGTACTGCTTTGTTTTATTTATTTGCTCAGAGTGAAACGGCCATTAAGTTTTGGGCCTCGCTGCTCCCAAGCTTCGCTCAGGCCTGCAACTTTAAGTTTTTAGAGCTGGATAAACCAGCAGGTGTCTGTGTGTTTGATTGGTGAGTGGCCCCCTCACATACAGTTGAATATTTACAGTGACATCTGACTATAGATGCAGTTTTGTGTTTTATTGTGTATGTCGTTAAATTTTTAAAGACGCATTAAGTAAACTGAGTTCACATTTACCTTATGGTTTGGTTATTTTTTAGTTTAACAGTGTGTGAGTGTGTTCATGACCACGGTGTGTATTGAAAGGAAATTAGGAGATAATTGGATGTGTTAAAGTATACGTTAGACTTGAAGTTCATCAAATTAAACTAGTAGTTAACAGTCTTTAATGCTACATATAAGAATCTAGGAGGCCCTTACCTAGTACAGAGGGTAAAGGTGGGCTACACTTGTAAAACTTTATCTAGAACAATAAATCTAATGTAGAGGCAAACTACATCAGTGTTAGTAACTTTATCTTTGTCGTCCTCAATGAAATGCATTGTTTGTCTGAAATCTTTATTTCTCTGTAAAGAAAAAAAAAATAACTCTGCTGCGATCAATATTAGACCTTTAACAAATGTGACTGACTGTAGTGAACTAAGCCTCAGGTCAAATCTGGCCTTGAGGGGCCTTCCTGAAACAAGAACTGTATTTCATTGATTTGAGTCCAGAAACACAAGATTAAGTCCACCCAGAGACTTTCTAA